TTCCCTTGGTTAGTATCTTCCTTGGTAAGAGTGAGTCGGAGGTTTGTTGTGAAAGTAATTTCTTTCCTTGGGGCTCGGTTGTTGAATGGTCTATGATCAATTGGCCTTGTGTTTTGGCGTACCCTTAATTTCGGGGACGAAATTCTTTAAGGGGGGGAGGTTATAGCGATCCCGGTATTCCTTTTCGTGCTTAACTGTAATCCGGATTCGGATTCGTAAGGGTGCTATTGTCTTATCCTCTTTCTATCCCTTACTCTTTGTGTTCGAGCTTTGGGTTGTGTTGGGCAAGTTGGGAATAAGTTAGTTGTGTTTTAAAACGTAGAATCTTCGCCCAGTTTTTTGGTCTCTCCGCTCAAGCAGTGCTTTTGACGCTCGAGCGGGACTCTGTTGTTGCTTATCCGCTCTAGCAGGGGTGTTGGAGCTCGAGCGGGGGAAATCACCCATCCAGTATTTCGTTTACAGTGGTATACGCTCGAACAGGAGATTGGACGCTCGAGCGGGAGTGTGTGTCTGACGCTCGAGCGGGGAGTTTGACGCTCGAGCGGGCATCATGTCTGTAAAAGTTCTGGGAGCGTGCGTCCACCGCTCGAGCGGGGGATTGGACGCTCGAGCGGGGATCTGTGAGTGACGCTCGAGCGGGGATGTTGCCGCTCGAGCGGGGAGACTTTTATATAAAGCCGAGATCCGACATTTTTGTTCATTTTTCAACATCCTTTCTCTCTCTTACTTTTCCAAAAAGCTATTTTGAGAGTTCCTCTCACTAAAACCTTAACTTCTCTCTTAGGATTGATCTAGTGGGAGTTGTTTTCTCACCTTGGGCCTTTACAAAAGTTGTGTTGATCGTCGAGGGCTATCTTTTAACCTGAAGATTTCGGGATTTGGAGCATTTCTGTTTCTTCATCTCCTTCGTTGGGTCCCATCATTCGAGGTAGGGATTATTTGAGGTAGGGATAACCTACTCCATCTTATGAGCTTTGTCTTTGAATTTTAGCATTTTGATATGTTGGGGGTTATTGGGAAATTTTGGAAAACTTTGGGGCCTTTGTGTAATTTTACAAAAAGTTGGGGTTTTTAAATTTATAAACCTACATGCATGTTAGGCATAGAGAAATGAGATTAATGTTGGGACATTGATGGAAATGGAACCTTAGGGTTGTTTTGTGAATTATGGTAATTTGCCCTAATTGGTTTAATTAATTAATGCATATAATTAATTGAAGAAATCGAGGAATTGAATTGAGAATGTTGAAATTGGGAATGTATGGAACTAAAGAGTGTAGTCGAATCTTTCATTGCTCATTTAATTGAAATGTTGATATATTATCCATTTGTGCATTTATTTCCTGCTTAGAAATAATTGCTTTGGGCTACCGGTGGAGGGTAGTGTTGATTGTTGTAGACAATGCATGATGATTAGGCAAACTAAAACTAATCAATTGGATGTGTCATAGAGTATGACGGTTGATAGAATACATTAACTTTATGTATTGATTGATTGCGTATGTGATTCTGTGTTTATATGCATTACTTGTGTATGTGAGGAGATAGGGGATGTACTCCACGGTTTAGAGGAAGATGGGGGATGTACCTCTAAACCGGTTAATGGTTAATGGTTAAGGGAAGATGGGGGATGGACCCAGGGATGCAGCTCATATGCTCACCCATTGTAGTATTGGATACAGCTCATATGCTTATCTATTGGAAGTGTAGATACAACTCATATCTTATCTGTTGAAATATTGATATAGCTCATATGCTTATCTATTGAAAAGGTTGTTTGATTTGATATAGCACTAAAATGTATATCATCATCATTTGCGAAGTATGCGAGTAGTTTACGTGTTATTGATACAACACCAAAATGTGTATCCACCTTGGATTTCGAAAGTGATCTAGTGATAAACTATAATCTCATCAAATGTTTTGGCCAGAGTATTGAGCCTTGTTTTCAAACTCAAAGTTGAATAAGAAATGGAAAGTGAATTGTAACATAGACTTGGCTGTCATGGAATTGTAATAAGATGAAAATGGAAGTGTAAGTATTGACCACCTGTGGTTTGCTAATCGTTTAGGCATTGTTCATAGTTGGTTTAGTATATTTCTGCTGGGCTGTGGCTCACCCTATATGGGAACATCATTTTCAGGTACAGGTAGCATGCACCTCTAAGGACATAGCTTGGGAGGCTAGAGGCGAACATACTTTGGCTGTCTTATTTTCCTTGATTGTATTACATATAGTTTCAAGCCAAGGGCTTAAGGTGTAATTGAGTTAGCACTCTCTTTGTAACCAAGTGTTAACTTGGAAAGCTGTAAGCCTGTAGGGCATTTGCTTTTGTGTTGTAAACATGTAATACTGTTGTAATGAAATACTCTGATGAATAGATGAATGTGGACCTTTTATGTATCAATGTATGTTTATATGGGTGGGTTTAACGTCATTATTTTGAGGGCGTGACACTACCACCAACACCTACAACCTAGCTCCGTCGCCGTCGCTGGCGCTGGCGTAGCCCCTCCCCTTTTCCTTGCCTTCTTAAAGCCACCATTGCAATTTACTCTTCAACCTTTCCCACTTCAGATCTAGGGTTTCAGAGGGTAGAGATTTAGGGTTTCAGAGGCGAAGGGAATAAGAAGAAGAAGAAGAAGAAGAAGAAGAAGAAGAAAAATAAGGGAAAGAATGGTGGGGGAAGGGTATTGGAGGGAGGGGGCTGGAGAGGGAAGCTGACTGTAGGGTGGCACAGAGGGGTGGGGAGGATGGCACGAAGCTAGTGGGGTGGCGTCATCATCACTAGCGCCTGCTAGGGTTTGTAGTGGCACCATAGATCTTCCACCCCCTCCCCCTCCCCATCGCCACCAAAACCCTCTTCCACAAAAGCATGAGAGAGAGAGAGAGAGAGAGAGAAAGAAAGAGGTACGATTTACCGGAAGGGATGATTGTGAAATCTAAATTATGGGGGGAGTGCTTGCGACGAAGGAAGAAGGTGAGAGAGGTGCTAGCGGCTGCGAAAGGATGCATGAGAAGGGTTGATAGCGACAGGAGGTGGGGAAGTCACTGGTGGCCGCGGCAGTGGGGGGAGATGGAGCTACTGGTTAGGGTTTTGGAGGAGAGAGAAAAGAGAGAGAATAGAAGAGGATATTTTGATAATTTTTTTTATGGACAGAATAGTAATTAAATATTTTTTTAAAAAAAATGGTATGAGATGAGTAAATTAATAGTGTGTAAATAGAGGCATCCTTAAATCTAACGCAAAATGCCAAAACGTTATTTGCGTCTTATGCCCAATCGCACAATGTTGCCCTCCATTTTTTAGGTTTCCCTCCATTTTTTTTGGTTTATTACTCTTCCAAGCTATTTACATGTCATTCCATCGGTTGGCCATCTTGACTTGAATAATTTGCCTTTCCATTATCCAGCCAATCGGGAAGGAGAGCTGACAAAAGCTCACCGCTAGAGATAAGCATGGTCAGATTTGGATTTATTTTGAATAAAATCAGAATTAATTCATTGTTTACTGTTAAAAAAATTGTAATCAAACCAAATCATTAAAATTATTGAACCAATCTAAATCAAATCATTTAAACACTATTTGGTTTGATTTGGAACTACGTTTTCACATAATCTGTTCCTAAAAAAAATTATATAACATTATCAAAAAAATTCAACTTATCATAAATTTAAAAAATAATAATAGCATGCCCATCAAACAAAATACTTTTACAATATTTAACAGTTAAGTAAAAACATAGCATTAAGCAAACATTATTTAACATAAAAAAAAATTAATGTTTAACAAATAAACAAATATCATTTAAGTTAACAGTAATACTACGAATTCAGAAATTACCTAGAATTATTATCTTCTTGTTTAGATTTATTTTACATATGAACCTTACATTACACAAATTTATTCTCCACTACACAACCATCCATCTAAAAAAATATAGGTTCCCAGACTTATTGTTAAATTCAATATTTGTTGGAATTGATTCTTTAGGTTTAGATAGATCATTATCTTGTAAATTTTTTCTTTTTTGTCAGTTGACATTTCTTTTTATCCTTTTCTTTTGTGCTCGTTAATGACCAAATATTTGAATCTCTTATGGCAGTGACTATCCAATTTCAGTTTTCTGTCTGATTTTGCCATTCTTTTTTGATAATTAATTGTGTAAAAGGTAATTTTACTAACTTTTGCTTTTATGAATACTTCACCATGTATAAGATGATTTCTAATTATAATAATCCCCTAATTTTGCTCATCCAATTTCATTCTCAATGATGTGAAATTAGGGATGCTAAATATGAAAGAGAGAGAGAGAGAAAGGTATGGAATCGTTTCACATGGGGGGTGGGCCACGTCATTGAGGGTGAATTAGGTGGGCAAAATTAGGAAGATGTAGCGCCACTCTTCCAATTATTTCATATTTCAGTGAATACCATCAATTTTATTAAGTATTTTATTAATACAAGAGGTAAGTGTCCTTTTTTTTTTAATTTTAAAAATTAAATGTTATGTACATTTTTTGAAAAATGAAAAAATATTTAGTAGATTAATTTATTATTTGTGTAAAATATTTTTTTCACAATGTTTATAGAAGAAATTATATTCAATTATTAATGTATTCAAATTAATTCAGTATTTTTTATACACATACTTTGATTGTATTAATAAAAATTTAAATTCTACCTTCAGTGATAAGACCCCAACTAGTATATGGAAAAATCTTCAGTGTGCATTACACGGAATATATATTTTTTGTTTTCTAATATTATCTCCAATGGGTTCTCAAATAGTCCATTAGAGTCAAAACACAATTTAATTGGCACTCTTTTTCTTTTTCTGATAAATCTTATACTCCTTTTGAGTACAAAACAGAAAACCATCAAGACTATGAAAACTAGTAGAGAAAACAGTCTTCAACTGTTCAATCTATTTTTCATGGTTAGTACACTGTTCAATAATCTAGCACATACTCTGCAAAGCAAAAAATGATCTGTAAATATTTATTTCCTGCTTCTACAGTCATTGTCACTGTCATATATTGTGCCATTACAACAGGGAAAAAACGAAAGTTTGAAAGAAAACAGCAAGAAAAATTACAATTAAGAAAGGAAAATGAACTAGAGAAAAGCTAACAACAACATATTTCATGTTTTGTTCTCTTATCAACCACGTATCAGAAGCAATCTTAACTAGATAAGTACCTTGATATCTCTCTCTCTTATATCTAAACTAGTGTAATAAAAGATGGAAATGTAAAACTACAAAAAATGGAACATAATATGATGCTAGTGTTCGCTTTCATCCTGTTCATTATCTTTAGCAACCGTCTCTGGTGTCCGAGTTGAAGTGGTCATCAGAGTGTCGAAATTTTCAGTCTTCCCAAGCAAAATCTCAATCTGGACATGGAAAAAGAAAATGTAGATGCTATATCAATGGTTGTCTCAGTTGGATGATTTATTTTGAACTAGATATTAATCAATATATTACCACATAACACTCACCCTGGCCTTCTGAACAAGTCGGCCCTTGGATTCATCTTTCATGCCAACAGTAGATGTCAAAACTTCTGTTTCATCCCAAAACATAATTGGCATTAAGATGATTATTAGCAATAATAAGAGCATAAAATTATCAGTGCTCTCTGTTTCCCACAAAGAACAAAATATCCATCGTGTATAATAGATGATGTTGATATGCATTAACGAGGCATGAACACTCCATTTTAGTCACCGTAACAGTGTCCAGAACGTGTTGGGCACTTAAATGCCTTGGACATGCCGGGACACATGTCGGACATGTCACATGCCATGTCAAAATTTTTGATTATATTTTTCATGAGACACATTGGGAGACACGTCAAGGACACGTGTCTATCTAGACATGCTAAATGACACGTTTGTAATTTTATTATTAATTTTAGAAAGTTGGTTTGGTGGTCAAAGTATTTGTATTTGAAAACAAGAGGGTAAAAGTTGAAGAAACATAAAAACAAAAACAAAAACTTTCCTCTATATGTTCAATCTTCATTTAAAAAGTACTTTCTATATTGAATGATGTTTAAATTATAGATTGGATAACTTTTTCATGTTAAATTAGTGCAAGATTTTTATTATTTTTGGTTGTTTGTAGATAAAATAAGAAAAAAGGTCAAAAAAAATATATTAAAAAAAAAACCTTTCTATCACATCCTCATTGTGTCTATATTCTAATTTTCTAAAAATCATAATGCCCCATATCCGTGTCCATGTCCATGCTTCATCGATAAACATTAAAAGGGCAAAGATTCTTACTCTTTTCAATAGCCAGACCATTATTCTTCAGAATCTCAGAAATTGTGACAACTGTAGTGATTGCTGTAACATAATTACAAATGTGAAGACAGTCAACAAGCATGTTCCATTACCAAAAGATGAAGTGAAGGATAGCAGAATTAATGGAACCTTTAGGCTGTGTTGGGATCAAGAGTTTGAGGAGGAATTTGTGCTCAAAATTAAGCTTGTATTTCATTTACTTTTGCCTTGTTTTTTCCATTCCCTTCATGGATATCTACTCAAAACCTTGATCCAAACACACCTTTAACAATTTGAGTCCAAATGCCAACAAGGTGTGAAAACCATTTGTACTTCAGTTTTTCCATGGGATCAAAAGATATATATGAGCTAGAAAGATTTGTACTTCAGTTTTTCCATGGGATCAAAAGATATATATGAGCTAGAAAGTTAACGGACAGGACACAAACAAAAGAAAGAAGAAAAGGGCACCAAAGCAGTCATATGGTATCAACATGAGCTCCTTTGGATGCATGTCTTCACGGAAAAAGTGAAGTAAATTTTTTTTTTTTTTTTTTTTTTTCAGATTCTGTTTTCTTGCTACCATTTGTTTTTATGCCCATCAAATGAACTTGAGATGCTAATTCACAAAAAAAAGATATGAGAAATTTGAAAGAACTCATATATGGTATTAGAGTTGATGTATAAAGAGAGAAATAAAGAGAGAATTAATTGTATGTATTATGATTGATATATGTTGTATTGAATGTTGTATATTACAAATGGTGAGGGGCTCCTTATATAGGAGAAGATACAATCTTTATAGACAATGGACAATGATGGCTCATGATGAAAAGAGCCGAAAACAATCCAAAAGCAATACACTGTATTACATATTATATTAACCGAAAGTTGCACTATATTTAGGTATTATATTATATTACTAACAGCCCCCTCAAACTCAAGGAGGATAGGAACCAACTTGAGTTTGGAGAGAGTAACAAAATAAGAAAATGAACTAACAAATAAAAGTAAAATAGGATAAGAGACACTAAATGGTCGTGTCAGACCGTTGGTGAAAACACTGTATGGTCGTGTCGGACCGTTGTAGCAGATAATGTCTGGACAGTTTACGAGGTCATGCTGGACCGTTGTAGAAGCTGACCGGAATCAATGTCGGGACAGTTTATGGGGTCATGCCGGACCGGTTGTAGAAGCTGACCGGAATCAATGTCGGGACAGTTTATGGGGTCATGTCGGACCGGTTGTAGAAGCTGACCGGAATCAATGTCGGGACAGTTTTTGGGGTCATGCCGGACCGATGTAGAAGCTTGTGGTGGTGCACCAAGGGGGCGACTTAGGGAGTGCGCCATGGGGTGGCTTGGGTGGTTCCCATGGTGTGTAACCATGCTCACCATGATACATGATATATGTATGATATATGTATAACCCCCCCTCAAACTCAAATAGGTGTGAAGATAGAAACCTATTTGAGGTTGAAACAAAGGGAGTGATAAAGCTGACCGTTGTAGAAGACACTGTATGAGTGTGTAGATAGGCTGCCCAAAAGATATACATGTAGATAGATATATCGAGCCCTCAAAAGTCGCGCCCTCAAAAGGCGTGCCCAATCTTTCAAAAGGCGTGCCCAATCCATAAAAAGGTCTGCCGGACATGATGGCGAGGCGCGGGACTACCTTGGTTTGCGCGCCCGTTTTGTCGTCTGGCGTCAAGTGGCGCGCGATGCGCGTGTCGGCCTTGGCTATTTAACCAAGACGGAGGCTGAGGCCGAGGCAGAGGCTGAGACAAAAAAAAACCTGCGAAAATCCTTTGAAAAATGCTTCCGTTTCTGAGAGAGAGACTCTGTAACACTTGCCCAGAAAATGGTTTCGTCGTCCCGTGGGCTGCTCACTCTCTTTCCCAACCTCAACGAGTCAACAAGAGAGACAACTGGTGCGGTGGCCCGTGAACCTCAACCAAACACCTCTGGTTTTCCTCCGTTGAACTTTCCGATGCGGTCTGTGGAGCAAAAAATGGCAGTGCAGTCGGATGTGGAGGCTAATCAGTATACTTTGAAGGCATGTGTGGAAAGCATGACGGCAGTCACAAATTTGTCGAACCGGCTGCAGAGTAGGACAAATGAGGTGCAGCAATTAAACGCCCAACTGGCTCTGCTCCAACGACTCCATTTGCTTTGGCTTACGGCATGGAGGCGGTCATACCCTTGGAAGTTGAAATGCCCACCCTCAGAAGCGAGA